CAGGCGGCCTGGGTTCGATCCCCGAGTCCCTCCAGGATTGAGCCCTGAGCACAGCCAGGAGGGAGCCCTGAGCACAGACCCATGTGCCTAAAAGCAAACGAAGAAATGGTAGTGCTAGTTTGTTGTTTCTTTACTACAGAGCCCGTCGTGTGTGTGTGTGTGTGTGTGTGTGTGTGTGTGTGTGTGGCGGCTGCACACCTGAAGGTGCTCAAGGGTTACTCCTGGTTCTGCACTCAGGAATTACTCCTGGTGGGCTTGGGGGATCATTCTGGGTGCTGGAGATTGAACCCTGGTGGGCTGCAGGGAAGACAAACCTTTTCCCCTCTGTACTGTGGCTCCCCGGGGGCCAGCCCCGTTCCAAAGTCCTTTATTTATTTATTTAATTTTTTTTTATGTAGGAGTACTACTATTTATTCAGCCGCCGATGAGCTGATTGAATTGGGCATGAACTCCACCTCCAAAGTCTTTTTTAAACCTCTGTAACTTGACAGGCACCTGGAGACAAGAATTATTCATCTAGAAACAATATATGATTATTCTTAGGCCTGTGATACTAAGTACAGCATTTCGCTGATTCCTTAAAGCCCAAGTAAAGTTTGCTACTTTCCAGCTTTCCACAAAGTATCACAAATACTGGTTCTTCTGCTTTTTCTAGCCAGTGAAAATGAGCTACAAAGGAACTCTTAGTATGTTAGGGAGGCGGCCCAGTCACCTGAATGTAGGCACCAGAAAGAGATTTCTTCCTTCAGGAAGCTTCTCTGGAGATGCTCAATGAATTGCAGATAAATTGTGACCATTCATCATAGAGGTTCCTGCCTATGATGACACTTAACCTGCCCTACCTCCCCCTCTTCAGAAAACACAGTAACTCTCAGTGCATCCCCCAAGTCTACCTTCAAGTCATGATCACGATCATCCTGTTGTTCGTCGATTGCCTCGAGCAGGCACCAGTAACGTCTCCTTCGCCCTAGCCCTGAGATTCTGAAAAGTGCCACATTCAAGGCTCTTTCAGGGTTAGGAGAATGAGACCCATCATTGTTACTGGTATTTGGCATATCGGGTATGCCACAGGGAGTTTGCCAGACTCTGCCGTGTGGGCAGGTTATGTTCGGTAGCCTGCCAGGTAGTCCAAAGGAAGAATGAGATAATGACCTTCAAGTCAATAAACAGAAAATCTCATTGTACCAGAGGTTAATGCCACCTGGGGTAGTTCCAGCATCCCTAGAGCTACAGCAGGTGATTGCTGTGTCCCACTGAGCGCCACTCCTGAGCCTGGGGCATGTAGCACCTTTCCTGGGCCTAGAGAACTTCCCCTGTGTTTTACCTGTGAGTCCTCCCCCGCCCTCGCCCCCAGAAGGAAAGTGAGCCTGAGCCGGGCAGGATAGGGTCCCTCTCACCTGTGCCCTCCTGCCGCCCAGCCTGGAGGGGCTCCCGGGATAGGGTGCGGAAGTGGTGGAGGGTCAGTCTCCTGGGCAAACACGGGGTGTGAATAACTTTTTTTTTCCCTTTTGGGTCACACCCGGCAATGCACAGGCGTCGCTCCTGGCTCTGCACTCAGGAATTACCCAGCGGTGCCCAGGGGACCAGATGGGATGCTGGGAATCAAACCCGGGTTGACCGTGTGCAAGGCAAACGCCCTACCCGCTGTGCTGTCGCTCCAGTCCCCAGGCATGGATAACTTTCCCGCCACCCAGACCACTCCTCCATGGCTGGCTCTGAAGTGAAGCAGGGCCTGGGTCCACCATGTGGCCCTTGCAAAGAAAGTCCCCGCAAGGCCAGGACCTTGGAAGTCAGGGACCAGTTGGTTGTTCAGTTGGGGTGGCGGGGAGGGGTGTCCTAGGGCAAGGTAGGCTACAGGTCATGGGGGCTGGGGCCTCCCACAACCCCTGCTCCCCCCACCCCACTTCCCACATGTCCAGGTCCGCATGTCGGGGCTGGGCGACCTGCACTTCTGCCTCCTGGCCCTGGAGAGTCCCCATAGCCTGAGTGCTCCACTCACTACATGGCCGTGTGTGTCTGCTCAACACTGTCCGGCTACGATGGAGCACAGTCGTGTGTGATGATGGAATACCCTTTTTTTTTTTTTAAATGTAGGAGTACTGTTATTTATTAAGCCACTGGATGATGGAATACTCTTGAATTTTCAAGAACTTTCTGGGGTCTTTGGGGTGGGACTGGAGGACCACAGGGACAGCTATGAAAAGTTGTCTGTCGAGAGCTCTTGGTTTTGCCTGTGTGTGTGTGTGTGTGTGTGCTTTGCAGTGTCTGTTTGATATCCTGTGACCTGCCCATCTAGAAGTTCCTCTCAGGGCTCGTCCAAAGTCTTTGGCTGTTAGGAAAATGAAAGTGTGTGTGTGTGTGTGTGTGTGTGTGTGTGTGTTTCCCCCTCTTGTTGCTATTGATTTTTGTTTTGTTTATCATGTGCCAGGGGTCAAGCCCAGGGCCACGCAGGTACAAGGCCAGCGTTGTGTCCTGTGCTCCATCCATGGCCTGTGTCGCTGTTGTGACTCTGGCTGCCATCACTCACCTGAGCATCTCTGGGCATCACACTCCTGCTGTGATGCCTGACTATGACACACTACTGTGCGGCTGGGGGTCCCAGGGACTGGTCCCGGAGGCTGGTGCTCTCTCTGTACCCTTGGAACGCCTGGGTTCAAGCTCAGGGCTCTGTGCTTGCAAGGCAGGTCGCTCTAGCGCAGAGCCATCCCCGGGCCCCGACTGAATTTCTTCAGGTGCTGAGTAGCAAGAACTGACCTTGCAGGGATGGTAGCTCCCTGCTCCCTCTGCAGAAGCATCTGGGAGTCTTCAGTGTCAGAGTCAGGGCTGTGCCTGGGGCGGGGGAAGGGGGGAGACCCGGGTCTGGGTTGGTGCCCAGGCCGTGTTAGGAGGCCCAAGTCAGGCGCGGTCTGGAAATCCCCCAGGCCCTCCTGCAGCCCTTGGGATAAGGCGTGTGACCCCGCGTGGAAGCAGCGCAGCGTGGAGAGGCACGCCGCGTGGGGGTTTCCCGCGTGGGAGTGCCCAGCGTGGAGGGGCACATAGCTTGGAGATGCGGCTCGTCTGGGTCCGTGATGATTCTGCAGTTCTGATAAGAACAAGAACCTGGGCTGCTCCTCCCGGGGGCGTCCCGGCCCACCCTCTCAGGCCAGAGTGTGCTGTGCTGAAGGACTGACGTCTGGATGGGTGCTGGGGTGCACCGAGTGTGGTGCTCTCCTGGCCTCCAACTTAACTCTCAGTCTTCGAAGTTCAGACTGGATTGAAGTGAACGCGGCTGCCCCACCAGCCCCTCACCCCGGGAGCCTGTCTCCATGCCCTTGGGTGTGAGTCCGAGGTGCGTGTGGGCAAAGCTAGAGACCGACAGGCACCCCACTAATGGCCGTTGAGTCAGAGCCTGGGTTGGAGACGCTGACTACTGGGGTTTGCCTTTTCAGCATGGTCCCTCCTAGCTGTGTGACCTTGGGCGAGTGCTCCAACCTTGCTGTGCCTGTTTCCATGCTTGGGAGATGGAACTCATTACAGTGCCTTTTTTTTTTTTTTTTTTTGGTTTTTGGGTCACGCCCGGCATTGCACAGGGTTTACTCCTGGTTCATGCACTCAGGAATTACTTCTGGTAGTGCTCCGGGGACCATATGGGATGCTGGGAATCGAACCTGGGTTGGCCGCATGCAAGGCAAACGCCCTACCCGCTGTGCTATTGCTCCAGCCCCAACAGTGCCCATTTTATGTCGCTTCCATGAGGCTCAGAGGAGAGACTGATGTATAGTACTTAACCTGCTGCCGCCAAGTCATACTCTTATACTCTGTAGACCTTGGCGACCTGAGCTAGCTGCAGGGGTGGGTGGAGGAGGAGAGGAGGAGGAGGAGGAGGAGGAGACTGAGGCTGGTGTGGTTCCCAGTGGGCCTTCCGGACCTTGGGCCTTCCGGCACATCACATTGCTCTGGGAATTCCAGTTCTAATCCCTGGAGTGGCCGTGATTCCGGCCGCTCAGGTGTTGTGAAAATGAGTCCCCCTTCGGCACGAAGGGGCCAGTCACCGTGCCCGAATTGTCTTAAGGAAAATGTTGGCCGGTGAGCTTGGGGTTCGAGGCTAAATTATAGTTCATAAACATTTGTGGAGTGTCTGGGTATTCCTGTGCGGGCAAAGAGTGGGCTTTGTGCCGTGCCCTAATCAAATAGTCTTATCTGAGGTGCTTTGAGTGTTCGCGGGGCAGAGCCATGTGTAAATACTGCAGTGGCCGTCAAGGCCTTTCTCAAAGGGCTCTCGAGCCGGGCCCCTCGGGTGTGGCCAGCAGCTGGAGTGACCAGCCGGCCGCAGATGCCTCATGTGGAAACTGAAGGGGGGGGCTGGGGCTTCGGGTCCTGCGTCCCGGGCTGGTGCGTGTCCTCTAGTCCCCAACTCTGCTCAGAGCCATCTCTGGGCTTTGGGGGTCGTCACACTGGGGAGGCTGACCCTGTGGACGCCCGGGTCCACAACTCGGCACGGGCCCGTCTTGGCCTTCCTTTGCTCACCAGGAGCCGTCCAGGCGTCCTGGCTCTCACAGGTGGGGGAGCCGCGCGGTACCTAGGAGTGCTCGGGGGAGGACCCGTTCTGGTTTCTAAGGTGCGTGAGCGCGCACGGGCACTCAGCGGCGGTCCCGGGGTGTGGCCGGGGGCCCTGGGTGCTGTGGGCGGGCCCGCACCCCGGCTGCTCGGGAAGTGACGTCATGGTGAAGGCATGCTGGGTGCTGCTGCCTTGCTAAGCGCGAGAGCACAGTGGCGGCCGCTCCGGCGCCCTGACCCCCAGGTGGACCGTGAATCAGCAGAATCGTGCGGCTGGGGTTCCAGCCCGGCATCCGCACCGCTTTTAACCACCAGCATTTATATTTAGTGACTAATGAGCTTGTGCTAGAAGTCCCATCTCCCACACAAGTCGCTAATAGTCTCTTAGCCGAAAAAAGCACCGTGGCTCCCGGTAAGGATGCCAACTTAAAGCCTCGTCCCCCTCCCCCCACTCTCTCCTGCAGGGTTTGCCACTGCGGGATCCATGGCTTGCGCTGCCGGACTCCGGGGTCCCTGCACCCAGGTCAGCAGAGCCCTCGGCCTGCGAAGTTTCAGGTAACTGGCCCCATGCACTTGAACCATGGAACCATATATGCACTCCTCTCCTCCCCGAGGTGTTTTTTTGGGGGTGTAGGGGGGGTTAGGTGGTGAGCCACACCTGACGATGCTCAGGGATTAGTCCTGGCTCTGCGCTGCGAAATCACTCCTGTCAGTTCTTAGGGGACCCATGGGGTGCGGGGCTAGAACCTGGGTGGGCGTGTGCAAGGCAAAAGCCCTGCCAGCTGTGCTGACGCCCTGCCAACCCCCCCCCCCCCCCCACACACACACACACACACACGCACGTTCTTAAAGCTGGTGAGTAAGTCTCCTGGGCTGGGTGCTCGGGGGACTAAGCCAGGGATGGAAAGTCAGAATGGTGGGGAGGAGCTGAGTGAGCTGAGCTGGGACAGGTGGGCGAGGGTGGTGAGGGCAGGAGTTCGGGAAAGTGCCCTTGCTCCTGGGCGCAAGAGGGAGACGACGCTGCCGTAGGCTTGCGAGGACAGGGGTTGACGTGTTTACCTTGTGCATGGCCGGTCCGGGTTCGATTCCTGGCACCACATAGGGTCCCCCTGTGTGCACCACCAGGAGCAGCCCAAAAACTTGAAAAAAAAGAAGAAGAAGAAGAAGAAAGGAATCTTTGGTGGTGTTTTTTAAATTCCTTGCTTCTAGGGCTGGATCGATAGCACAGCGGGTAGGGCGTTTGCCTTGAACGCGGCCAACCTGGGTTTGATCCCCCGGCATCCCATATGGTCCCTGAGCACCACCAGGAGTAATTCCTGAGTGCAGAGCCAGGAGGAAGCCCTGAGCATCGCCGGGCGTGGGCTCAAACCAAAATAAATAAATAAATAAATAGAAATTCCGTGCTTCCTACCAGACGTTCAAGCGCGATGAAGCGTGGCCTCCTCCCCTCTGTCTCTCTCGCTGCCGGGCCGGCGTCCTGGTTGGCAAATGCGCCTCCTGGCCCCGTTGAGCATGGGGCCTCGGGGTTGCTCCCAGAGAGAGGAATACGAATTGCTTCCTGCCCTGAAAGAGTTCTCACAGTCGGCCACGGGAGCGAGCTCAGGAACAAATAACTCTCAGAACATGTGACAAGGGTGATAATAGAGGCTTGTACAGCGCTTGGGAAGGCTCCGAGACCAGGGATGCTGGTGGAGGTGGCGGCAGCCTTCCCCGAAGGAGTTGGGGCGCACGGTCTGGGCCTCCACGTGTGCCGGAAGCACCCCGACTCCCTGCCCGAGTGGCGGGTGGTGCAGCGCAGAGGGCAGGGGCCGTGGGGCCGGGTGCTGGCCCAGGGGACGGCAGAGACGCATGGAATAAGCGCCCCGCTTGACATTCTGGGGCGCTTTCAGGCAGTGGAGCGAGGGACACTGGGGAGCCTCAGAGAACACTAATGTGACAGTCTCTGCACAAGCCGGCGAGCCACCGGATTAATGAGTGCCAGTGGGGGCAGAGGGAAGGGCCGGAGTTGCCCGGGAGTTGGGGGCAGCAAGACTGGGCGGCCGGTGGGTGTGGGAGGGGCAGGGTGGATGGTTTGCAGGCTGGTTTCCTGGGGAAGCCGTTGTCTTTCGGAAAGACAGTGGGGAAGTGAGGTTCATTGGGGTACCCCTGAGCTGGAGCACCCCGTAGGGCCTGCTATGGGCAGTTTAGAGGGATAGGACAGAAATAGAGTGTAGGAGAGACGTGAGACTGGCAAGAGAGTTCACTAGTTGGCAGCAGTGAGATGAAGGAACATTGCCCAGAGTCGCCAACGGACGGACAGAGGCAATGCTAGCCAGCGTTTCCCCGGAGAATATCTACCCGCATTTCAATTGCATTTATTTTGAATTTTTTTTTTTGGGGGGTGACACCCAGCGATGCTTAGGAGTTGCTTTCTGGGTCTACATTCGGGGGGGGGCTGGAGTGGGGGGGACACAGTGGTAGGGCGTTTGCCTTGTGTGCAGCCAACCCGGCTGAGCCGGATTCGATTCCTCCGCCCCTCTCAGAGAGCCTGGCAAGCTACTGAGAGTATCTCAATATATACCAAACACAGTAACAACAAGTCTCACGATGGAGACGTTACTGGGCCCACTCGAGCAAATCGATGAACAATGGGAGGACAGTGCTACATTCAGGAATTCCTCCTGGATGCTTGGTTGGTGGTGGTGGGGTTGGGGGGTCCTGACCGACACAGATACACACACTTTAGAGGGTGCCAGGATCGAGCCCAGGTTGGCTGTGTGCAAGGCAGATGCTCTCGCTCGGGCCCCACCTACCTGCCTTTAAGGTTCGGGCTTCGGGAAGCTAGAAATCTGTCATTGCATTGCTTCTGAATGTTTATTTGCCTTTAATGTCTTTGATACCTACTTTAAAAAATCCTTTCTAGTGGGGAAGAACGCAGTCTGACAAAAATGGTCCCCTTGGCTCTCCCTGGCTCGTGCCTCGTTGCACCTGAGGACTCCCTTTAAACCCACTCTCTCCCCTCGACGGTTCCAGGCAGCTGCAGCCGAGAGCGTTTGGGAATCTGGGGGGCAGGTTTGACTGCGCAGCGGCCAGGCCTTGGTCCATACTCTGCACCCTTAATCCTCAAGAGTTTTTGGGAAAGGCCCGGCTGCTGTGCGTTTCCTTGGAATAGGTTTGGGTTCTGTCCAAATAGAGATTTTTTTTTTTTTGGTGGATTTTTGGGTTGTACTCCGGAATCACTCCTTGGCAGTGTTTGTGGGACCGTATAAAATTCGGGGAATCAAACCCGCTCCAGCTGCAGGCAGGGCAAGTGCCTTCAATCACTGTAATATCACTCTGGCCCCACCTGGATAATTTTTTTGCAGGGAAGGGGGTGGCGTCGTTGGGGGTTGAGCCCAGGGCCTCACACCTGTGGAGTGTTTGCTATTCCTGTGGGACACCGTCCCACAGGACAGAACTGAGGCTCTGTCACCTTGACCTGGAGTCAGGATCCCCACCCTGGCCCCCTGCCCTGCCCCAGCCCCGTTCCCCCCACTCCCCCGCCCCCCCCCCCCCCCCCCGCCACCGCCGCGGCTGTCCGGCGCTGCCTCCAAGAACCAGACCCTCAGGCTTCTCCTCTCTCCCGCCAGCACCACGGGGGGCCTCAGTGCCATTCAGAAGATGACGCGGGTCCGCGTGGTGGACAACAGCGCCCTGGGGAACACCCCGTACCACCGCCCGCCGCGCTGCATCCACGTGTACAACAAGAGCGGCGTGGGCAAGGTGGGTGACCGCATCCTGCTGGCCATCAAGGGCCAGAAGAAGAAGGCACTCATCGTGGGCCACCGCATGCCTGGCCCCCGCATGACCCCCCGGTTCGACTCCAACAACGTGGTCCTCATCGAGGACAACGGGAACCCCGTGGGGACCCGCATCAAGACGCCCATCCCCACCAGCCTCCGCCGCCGGGAGGGCGAGTTCTCCAAGGTGCTGGCCATTGCGCAGAACTTTGTGTGAGCGGCCGCGGAAAAAAATAAACATTTTCTCCTGCTCTGTCTTGTTTTTTTTATTAATATTGTTATTATTATTATTATTTTTGCTTTTTGAGTCATACCCGGCGATGCACAGGGGTTCCTCCTGGCTCATGCACTCAGGAATTACTCCTGGCGGTGCTCAGGGGACCCTGTGGGATGCTGGGAATCGAACACGGGTGGGCTGCGTGCAAGGCAAATGCTTTCCCCAATGTGTTATTGCTCCAGCCCCATTATCGCTATTATTGTTGTTAATTTTTGCCTTTTAGGTCACACCTGGCGATGCACAGGGGTTATTCCTGGCTCTACACTCAGGAATGACTCCTGGCAGTGCTCAGGGGACCTGGGATGCTGGGAATCGAACCCGGGTCGACGGCGTGCAAAGTAAACACCCTACCCACTGTGCTATCACTCCAGCTCCCCATTATTATTATTTTAAAGTCATACCCAGCAACGTTCGGGGCTGACTCCTGGCTCTGCTCAGGGATCACTCCTGGCAGCAGGCGCTGGAGACCATGTGGGGAGCCAGGGTTGGTACCCGGGTCCCCTGCATGCGAGGCGAGTGCCCTGTCTGCTGCACTCTCTCTCTGGCCCCTCATCCACTTGTTCTTCCTGAGCTTCCTGGGATTTGGGGGCTGAGGGATGGAGGGTTAACAGCGCTGGAGCTGTCAGCGGCCAGCCCCGACTCTGTCCACGCTTCCGTCAGGATGTGGAAAGCTGAGGTGTGGTTCTGAGGGCTGCCTGTGAGGACCCACTCAGCGGCCCCGCCACTCCGCCCCTGCCCCTGCCCAAGGGCTCGGCTGGAAATTGGTAGAATTGAGTGGGTCTGGGCTCCTGGCTCCCTGCCTGCAGTACCTGGAGTGCGCCCTCCCCTCGGATCGAAGAACTGTCCACAAGCCGTCCTATGCCCTTGGCACACGCAGGTGATGCTGTTCTTGGCTCTGCGGGTGATGCAGTGAGACTTCATCTTCCTTTTTTAGGGACTTAGGGGATGCTTGGGCCGCACCCAGCAGTGTCCAGTACTTACCCCTTGTGGACTCAGGAACCCTGTGGGGTGCAGGGGATTGAGTCCAGCTTGTCAGCATGCAATGCCAGCGCCTTCCCCTTAGGACTGTCGCTCCAGCTCTTTCATTTATCTGTGGTCTTGGGGGAGGCTTGGGGATCCCTCGGTTCCTTGAGTGGATTTTCAGCTGACAGAGGCGTTCAGCTGTTGGCTCAGCCGATACGGGCCACAGGCCACAGAGGCAGAACAAGAATGACAGAGGAGCATTGAGTCTGTCATGTTGGAAATGATGAATCAGAGCCGGCCTGTCTGGGTTTGATTCAGCTGCACCACAGGCCATTAAAATGACTAGAGGTAAATTATTGATGACTTTGCTCTCTCGGTTTCCCCACCTGTGAAATGGGGCCATCATCGCAGTGCTGGCTCCGCCAGGGTTCTGAGCTCGAGTTACTCTCTGGGTGTGATGCCCACCAGGTGATCAGGGTCTGCTGGGTGTCCCACACACCTCCCTCCTTAGGGACGCCAGGGTTGCGGAAGGCGGGCAGGCTCATCATTCTCGAGCCCACCACGCCTCAGGGATCAGGCACACCACGTCGTTGTGACTCAGGTGCCGGTGAGACAGGCAGTGGGCTTGTCACCAGCTGCCCTGAGAAAAGGCTGCAGCCACTGGAATCAGAACCCCTTGTGGAAGTCAGGATAGGGGCCCTGTGGGGGTGGGAGGAGGGTCGACTGGAGAGGTGCCAACGGGGGACAGGCAGGCGTTGGGATCTGGCTGGGCATTCCATGAGGAACAGCATCTGTGAATGATGACCGGTCAGGACTTCCTTCAATAAAGGTCCGTGGCTGGGCGACAGCCAGGTGAGAGGGGGAAGGTTTCCTGAAGAGGGAAGATCCTGTACTGAACCTCACAGGTAGGGAGAACGGCTGAGCCAGGGATGCCAAGAAAAAGTGGAGAGAGAGAGAGAGAGAGAGAAGAGGAGGGGAGGGGAGGGGAGGGGAGGGGAAGAAGAGGGAGAGGGGTTGCCAGGAAGGAGCCTTTTAAGCCCAGGAAAGTGTGTGCTCGGAGTGCGGAGGTGTCTGGCAGCCAGGTAGAGGTGCTGGGGGGGACTTGAGGCTTAGCCCTGGAGGTGAGCCGGAAGATGAGGTCCTGACAGGTGCATTGGAAGGCCTTGATTGAAAGGACTTGGCAACGCCTTCGAATTGTGGGAAGCCAAGGAAACCTCCTAGGCCCTTGCCTGCCTGGCTTAGACACTTGTGCCCAAACCAATTTCAGGACTGAGCTGCTCACCCTGCGGGTTCCAGAACTGTGGGGGGCGGTGACCAAACTCAAACTTGTGTTTAAAGGAGAGAGAATATAGCAGGGAGGGCACTTGACTGGCACGCAGCTGACCCAGGTCAATCCACAGCATTCCAAACGGTCTCCCAAGCACCACCGGGAATAATTCCCGAGTGCAGAGCCAGGAATAACCCCTGAGCATCGCCAGGTGTGGCCCAAGGACAAAACAAGTAACGAAATAAATACATGATCCGGCACCCGAGCAATAGTGGGTAGGGCACTTACCTTGCAGGTGGTCAACCAGGATTTGATCCCCAGCATCCCACATGGTCCTCCAAGCCCACCAGGAGCACAGAGCCAGGGGGTGTGCCCTAAGCACAGTTAGGCCCCCCCCAAAACAAACAAATCTGTAAGCACTTGATAATGTGTACCTATTGCATATACTTGTCTGTGTGGGATCGAGTCAAAGTTTTGGTTGAAGGGGTCATGGGGCATAAAAGTCTTACGCAGCCCGGCTGTAGGAGAGGGGCCAGGACCAGGGCTGGGGGGGGCGGTGCTGGGACAGGGAGCCCCCGCTTAGGTCCCTCTGAGACATCCGGGAGAGGCCGAGTGGGTAGCCTTAAAAATAACAGCGCGAATCGCTCTCGGAGTCTATTTTGAAAGCGTGTCCCCATGCATCTATTCTCGGCTTCCCCACAGTCCTTGGCGTGGTGGGCGCTGGTCCCATTTCTCGGGGCGGGGAGGAGGGGACCCTGGATTTTAGGGAGGATGTGAGCAGAGCCAACGCGGCGACTACTGGCTCTGGGTTCTCCCAAGACATGAGAGATTGGGGGAGGGTCTTTTGCAGTGCGGGGATCCCCAGGACGGGGGCCTTGGAGTCTGTTTCCCCGCTGAGCTTGGCAGCCTGGGCTCTTCCCGTGCCATCGTCCAGGGTTCCTCTGTCCAGGCCTGCACCAGGTACCTCTGGGTCCTTAGGAGCTGTGGCTGACCCAGGCCAGCGAGGGGGAGATCCCGCCCTGACCAGGGGCTGCTTCCCTGGCCCCTGGCCTGCATGTGCTGGATGGAGGAAGAGACTCCGTGCCCAGCGCAGGGCAGCCTCGCAGGCACCTGCTTGGGGACCGGACCTTTGCTCTCACTGGGCAGCCAGGCCACCACTGCCCGGGTCAGTTGCTGGGGTGGGTCTGGCTCGCCCACCCCTGAGTCAGCAGGGAGGGCGGGACCCGGCGGGCATCTGTACGTGCTGCCAGCCTTCCCCCGCTCCCCGGAGGACCGGCCCTTCCGCCCTCCCCGGGGCCTCAGCACTTCTCCAAGGTGTTCGGTGCTGGTTGTGGTTTCCCCCGGATGGACAGGCCGGGGGCTGGGGGCTGGGGGGGGGGTGGCCAGAACTGCTCGCCCTCCTTCCCTGTGTGACGCAGGCCCGCCCCGCACACGCCGAGAATAGCCTCCCCTTGGCTGTTTTTCCAGCTGCCCCATCGCTTTGCAAACCTGGATCTCATTTGCCGTCCACCCGCCCGCCCGCCCGCCCCAGCCTCTCCGCCAGTGCCGCTCTCTTTGCTCATGAAATATTTATAATCGCAGATTCGGTTACACTTGCTTTTGTGTTTTTCCCCCTCTGTGCCCTTAAGAAGTCGCCCTGGCAGTGGAGTCTAGTCTCCCCACCCGCTGACCTGGACCGCCCCGGGTCTCTTTGGTGTCCCTGCTCGGACCCTTTTCTGCAGGCCTGCCTAGGAAGAGCTCTGGAGCAGGCAGGGGTTGTGGCTGGGAGACCGGCGTCCCCCACAGCTCACGCCTTCAGCGGCAGCAGGGTCAGACTCTGCCTTCGGGGTAGAGTTCAGCCTGGCAAGCCTCCACGTGTGTCAGTGTGAGGGGAAGCGAGCCCCCAGGGCCTGGCAGGGCCCCCTCGGCACCCCCACGCTCTGGCCTCCGTGGGACGCACCCTCCCTGCCTCTGGGCCTCCGCTGTGGCTTTCCTCCTGGACTCGCCTGCTCCCGCCAACTCTTGGTCTTGCAGAGAAACGGCCTGAGACTGGGCCCGGAACTCCCCACGGCCCCCGGCAGTCCTTGCCTCCCTCTCATTCAGTCACTCAGCCTTAAACCAGTTTTCTTAGCCTTTTGCAATCGGAGGATGGGTCGAGCCCTCAGCCCGGCACCCTCAGCCCTGTGGAGTTCCGCTGAATCCATGTCACCAAAGATGAGCGTTCTTCCAGTTATCGAGAGGCTCAAAGCAGTCATGAGTCTGTCGAGGTTTCCTGCGTCCTTAACGTTTCTTTTTTTTTTTTCTCTGTTTTCAAATAAGAGACGGTGGAGTCCAGCCAGGTTCAGGAAGAGTGATCCTGGTTGTCTTTTGCTTGACATTTTGACAGGCGGTCTCCTAGAAATACCCACCAGTAGGGCTTGGAGGGTTAGTATCGCAAGTGTGGCGCTCACCTTGCTTGCAGCCGGCCTGGGTTTGACCCCCGGTACCCTGTACAGCCCCCAGAGCACTATCAGGAGTGATCCCTGAGCACCGATCCAAGAGTAATCCCTGAGCATGGCTAGGTGTGTTCCCCGCCCCCCCCCCCCCAAAAAAAAAATCTCACTAGTGTTTTCCTTTTGAGACTAGTGACTTTAAACTGAGTTGATTTTCAGAGGGTTTTGCAAGAGCTCTGGGATCATCGGGATGCCCTTGGGAATTGTGAAACCTTGACTGGCAGTTGATTAGAGGTGACGTGTTTACCTACCAAACAGAGACGAGCCTT